GCCCGCGCGCCCGGCACCCGGAGCGACGGCGCCCCTCATTTCGGGCCCCTCAGCGCGGTGGCCCACACCCCCAACCGGGGGCCCTCTCTGCCCAACCCAGCCCCAGAAGGGCCCCAGGGTGACGAAAACTGTCCCCAGACCTGATACCAGTGTCCGGGGACTCGAAGAAATCCCCCTGGCCCTCTCCCTTCCGAGACCTGGAGACGCAACCCAGAGGGTCCCCCATTCCTGACCCCCGGGCTCCCTGGAGACCCAGATAACGCGCTGCTGACCTTCCTGGGAACCCGGGTCTGGGGGACGCAGATAAGCTGCACCTGCTCCCTCCCTCAGACACGCCTACCGGGTCCTGCAGAACCCCCTTTCCTGCTCCAAACAGCCCGCTCTCCCCTCGGCCTCATTTTCTACACTTTCCTAACCCTCTGTGAGGTCGCCGTCAGACTCCTGGGTCCGGAGACCTGGAACGAGCCCTACGTGTGTCCCCCTTGGTGACCACACTCCCACACTTTTCAGCCTTCTGTCTGGACACCCGGTTTTGGATCTTCTTGGGAATTCTCTGACTCTCAACCCTGCGCGCTAACCAGCCCTTAGAATCCTCCTCTCTTGTCTATTTTGGGGGTCCCTTAGAGACCCCGGTTACTGAGCACATGATTCTGGATGGTACCTGCCTCTCCTTGCCATCCCCTAGACTCCCTCCAGACCCTTCTCCCGCCCCCCTCCCTTCCCCTCTCCCACTGCGTGTGTTGGGGCGGTGTTGGAGGGGGTGGGATTCCGCTTTCCCACCACACAGTGGGGTGGGAGGTCTAGAGGCTGCCCTGGGGGCCAGGCGGTTTCTTGTGAAGCTAGTGGTGCTATGACTTGGGGCAAAGGGGCCCTGTAAAGTGGGGAGCGAGGGGACATCGGTGTGGGAGACTTGGCCCTTTCACCCCAAGTGGGGCCTGGCTTGTGTGTTTTTCCACCTGTCAGCCTGGGGCTGTGACAGAGTGTGGCCTTGGGTTTCTAACCTTCTCCTCCCAAGGTAAGGCCACCAGATGGGGGTGTCTAATCAGGTTTCCTCCCTCAGAAAGGGGGCTGTAGTTGGGTGTGTGTGTGGGGGGGAGTTGCAGCCATTTGCTCATCCTGAGAGTTAAGAGACCTCGGAATCCAAGGAAATAGTGAATCAAAGAGGACCCAGCTACCCCGACACAAGAACTAGCAGCCCAGAGTAAATCCACCCCTGTTAATCCTGTTTGATGTTTCTTGGAATGATGCAAGTCATTGAGACTCTCCAGTCTCCCTGTAATTTAATTCTCCCACCACTTGAGTGAGAGAGAGAGAGCGAGCGAGTGAGCGAGAGGCAGCCATTCCTATTCCCCACTTCACTCCTCACTGTTTTCCAGCCAACCAGTGTGTCTTTTGGATTTGTTTCTGGTGCCCAGGTTGGGACCTGAGTTCTTTTACCCTCTTAAGTCTATTTATAATTTCCCAGTTGCTATTTTGGGTTCTGCTTAAAGGAAGATTCTGTCTACTCCAAGAAATGCAGCGTGTGTGTTTCCCCTCGGCAGGTGTTGCATGGAGTTCTTCACACCCCCAAGTAGCTCTTGGGCAGGAGGGATAAAAGCTATTTCAGGGTAGTCACTGAAGTGGAGCTGTTAATCCTCTGTAGGTCTCTAGGAGAGCACTCAGAGATTAACCCTTTCCTTCCTTCAAGGGTGCTAGCTCCACAGTTTTGTGTGTATGTGGGGGAGTTGGGAGAAGTGAGTGTGTGGTAGAAGGTGGGGACATGCAATTCCATACAACGACAAAGATAATGGCTGTCTTTTGGGGGCCTCAATAGCAGGCCAAGCCTTCCACTGAGCCCTTTGCATACCTGACTAAAATAATCCCTACACCAAGCCTGTGAGGTAAGTATTTTTAGCCGTGCAGATGAGGAAACAGGCTAATAATGGAGAAAGAACGCAGTTTCTATAGAGCTGATGTAACACCATAAAAACTAAAGTTTCGTCAGAGGGCAGTAGGCATCATGGCACATGGCTGCTCAGACGGGGACCAGGCAGTGTGTCTGTCTCACCTCCCAAGGAGGCAGCAGAGCTGTGACCAAACCTTCCCTCTGGGGCATGGAGCCTTGCTGGCAGAAGGGGTAGCACCCAGGTGTGACACGGCTCCCTGGGCAGGACAGACCTCCTGGTGAGATGGTGCTGGAGGAAGGTGAAGCGTGGGGCTGGCTGGAGGGCATGCTGAGGGTTCCCTGTGAGAGAAGGAAAAGGGGAAGGCTGCGTTAGGGAGAGATGTTGGGGAGGGAAGGAAACTCGGTCTGAGGCCTGAGAAGTGACATTAAAGGGGAAAAAAAGAAGTACGGCTCAGGCTCTGGGCGGAAAAGAAGTCGATGCAATTTAGACCTCAGAGAGGGCACTGTCTTTACTCAGCACATGTCTGTGTCAGCCACCCTGGAGAGCACTGTCTCCCTTGATCCCCTGACACCCTCCTAGGCAAGCAGACGGAGGGAGCTGAGGGGCAGAGAAGTAAGCTGCCCGGAGCTCCACAGCCGGCGAGTGGCCACTCTTGTGATATCAGTAGCAAGTCCAAGGTTCTTTCCATGCTACCTCCCCTTTCAGATCAGGCACCAGAAAGAATCTGAGGCTGAACTTACACAGAGTTCTACCAGTAACTGGGAGGGATTGTGTTTGTTTTATGGGAACAGGTTCTGTCAGCTTCTCTATAGTTATAGAGAGACCAGAAGAGCAGCTTTGAAATAGAAGCAGAATTCTTTCATAGTTTTGCCGAGGAAGAAGTCTGAAGGAATAGGCCTTCCGACTATGAAGGAAACAAACCCAGGAATCTTTCTGGGTCAGAGGAGTGTGCAGGCGAAGAACAGGGAGAGAGACTAGCTCCCCCAAAAAGCCTCCTTGGTAACACTAAGCAGCTTTGGTTGGTTTACCCAACAGCCTACTTGGTGACTATAGGTAATGACTTAGCTGTGCCTTTAAAAAGTAGAGGAATAGGGTCAAGCTGGCTGTTGGCTCTCTCCGTGTAAAGCCATAGCTCCATTAAATGCAGATCAAGGCAAGCACATGGCTGTTGCCTTCTTCCTTGGGTTCTATCGGTACAACCTCGTGAGCACTTCTTAGCCACCACCACCTCTTTCCTAGAAGCCCATTACTCACTCTTTCAGTAGCAGTTTACTGAACTGCTGTGTCTTGTTTGTGCTTGTTCAGGAGAACAAATGAGGTGGACGTGTGGGAGGTGGGGGACAGACCGTTCTCTTTCTGAGTTTGCGCGGAATTTCCAGGACTGGGCTCCCCTCACACCATAGCCAAAGTGATGTGACTTGCTTCCCTCTGGCTGCCATTCCCAGCTTTTCAGAGGCTGAGGAGCATGATTTCAAATAGAAAGGGGAAACAAAATCTGACTTTGATTGTAGGGGAAATTCCCTCCAAACTAGATGTGCACACTGAGCTCACTACCCAATTCCAAGGTGCATAGTAATCGCTGGTATTATAAACAGGTAATTCCACCCTTGCGAAGGAGGAGGGGACCTAGACAATGAAAGCCAGACATCAGAGGCCTTTGAGGTTTATAATGGAGCAGGCAGATCTACCACGGTGACTGGAAGGCCCAAGTGGGACTCGTTTTTTAGTGCAACCTACCCCTTTCCAGCATGTGACTCAGGCAACATGCATCCATATTTTTGTAGGTCTTTCTAGGCAGATCTCCACTCATGATGGGGGAAATGTCTGTCCTATTACATACAGTGCAGTGTTTCTTCCACAAGAGGAACAGCTCCTGAACGGGATGGAGCTCATGTTAATGATGAGCAGAGCTCTCTGGGGCGTGAACCCGCTGATCCCGTCATCTCGTTGACAGCCAGTCTGTTGGATGAATGGCCACTGTAAGCAGCAGGTGCTAATGAGCTGAGCAAGCATTCTGTGACCCACAGCTAGTTTGTGTAGTCCGAGCCCTCCCCAGATTCTTGTGGACAGTCCCCAGGCAGCCACTTTGCTCTCTTCACATAGACAAGGCTCATAACCAATTTTGGCATGATCTCTTCAAAGGGAATCTCCCTGTTGTAGCAGGTTTCATTGTGTGTGGTGATCTGTGGTGAACTTCTGAGTGTGAATGTGGGTCTGTTTTCTTTCTGTTGACAGTCAATATGGTAACTCCCATCCTCTTCCTCTGAGATGGTGTTAGTAAAGAAGTTGTGTGACTCTTGCTCCAACTCTTCTCTCCTCCCACTGCCACTTCTACTTAACAAGAGAATGGATCAGACTTTAAGATTTTAGCTCTCCACTTTGGAAGGACTATGAACTGAGCTTAAACCAGAATTTCCTGGGCCTAGGTTAGTCCCTAAGAGTGAACTTGCATTCAGTGACTAATTTATTCATCTAAATGTAAGCTGAGATTCCTTTTCTAAATGTTAGGTGTATGGAGATGAAAGAGATTTGAGATGAGCCCTCAAAAAAATCAGAGTCTGGTGGAGAAGACTAAATTCTAATGCAAGTACGTTGTCTGCTCACACTGGAGAAGTGCACTGAGGGTCAGTAGAAAGAATCACACAGCACCTTGGCCTATTGAACAGCCTTTGCTAAGGAGGCATGATCTGGTCGCAGAGACCAAGAGACCCAGAGAGGTGATAGTGGTGAGGATGGGACCAGTGCTGGTTTAGGGAACATGGTGAGAGTCTGCTTTTCCTTCCACATTGCAGAACCTCCTGAGGTTGATGTGCTGCCAAGAAGCACATCTGGCACATGGGCTGACTTTCAAGGCATAAATTTCCTAAGTAAAGGATTCTTCCTCTCTGTTGCCGTTTGGGCATTTTATTGCTGCTTAGCACCTCCATGAAGAAGAGAGTTGTGGAAAGTTGTTGATGTGGGAGGGAGAGGTATGGAGTAAAGAGGAGGAGGAACTACTATCTCTGGGTTAAGTGGAAAGAATGTAAAAGTGAAGTCAGAAGGGAAAGTTTGAAGCTTTAGGGGTTTTAGCTCCTCAGATTGTCTTGTTTCTCATTAGCTTAGATGGTATTGGTAATAATGGTTACCACTAAGCACTTTCTAGATATCCAGCCTTCTCCTGAATGCCTTATATTCTTGATCTCCTTTAATCCTTAAAACATCCTCATGATTTAGGAGATTATTATGCCCATTTCATAAATGAGGAAACAGCTCAGGAAAGTAATTGGCTGAAAGTCACCCAGCTTCTAAGTAGAAGGGCTGGGATTGGAATGGGATCTGTCTGCCTCCAGAGCCCATATTCTCGTGGTATTGGGCTCCCTAACACAAGGTGTTCTGATATTTCAGGTGAAGAGATTGTTTTCTGAAGGCTGCGTTGGAGGCTGTGACAGAGCAGAGTCCTTGTGAAGCTGACGGGCAGGCTTTCTGAATAACATGGCCCTTCGCCATTAGCCTTGCCATGACCACATTTTTCACCAGCGTCCCCCCCTGGATTCAAGATGCAAAGCAGGAGGAGGAAGTGGGCTGGAAACTAGTTCCCAGGCCTCGGGGCCGGGAGGCGGAGAGTCAAGTGAAGTGCCAATGTGAAATCTCGGGGACGCCCTTCTCAAATGGGGAGAAGCTAAGGCCTCACAGCCTCCCCCATCCAGAGCAGAGACCGTATAGCTGCCCTCAGCTGCACTGTGGCAAGGCTTTTGCCTCCAAGTACAAGCTGTATAGGTAGGTAACAGTCTCATACCTCTTACTGTCCTAAGGTTTCCAGAGTTAAAACCCAGAGACCCCTGTGGAATGTGGGGCTTTATCAGTGGCAGAAGAGCAGAGGTTAATTTATTCCAGAAGTATACCATGAACATCAATCTTTTATTTTGGAGCGGGGGAAGAGGTTTTTGCTATAGGGCGCATGTGCTTGCCAGACAGAGAGAGACAGAGAGACAAAAAGTGAGAAATCACCCCCCGGGGGGATGGCCATGCCGTAATCCCTTCTTCTCCATTCTCTTCTCGGGATCTTGGGCACGTACACACATACACCCGGCATGAGTTTAAGCCACCGGGTTTGGTATTCGAACCGTCGTAGACTACATGGGAGTTCAGCGACATAGCCATTACACCAACTGCTGGTCCCGAGGGCTGTCCTCTTAAGACTTCCTTAGTGATGGTATGGCTGCAAGTAGCAGGCCACAAAGGTCCTCAAACAGGAGGCAGGAGCTCTGACTCCACCATAGTTCACTCTGTGATCTTAGGCTAGTTACTAAACCTTATTAGGCCTCAACTTACCTCACCTGCAAAATGAAGGGAATGAACTGTGGCTCACTCAGCACCTCTCTCATATGTTAATTGTCAGATTATTGTAAGAGTTTGATAATAATGCACCTAGGCACAAGGACTCAAGCATGCACACATAGCATGAGGGTGATGGGTGTGTTTGATACCCTCCAGGTAGAAAGCATTACCAGGTACTTTTCTAGAGACAGCTGTGGCATACCTGAGTGAACCCAGGTTTCAAGAAGGTCTGGGTTTAAATCCAGCCAGCCTCTGCCACTTACTGACTGGTGGGTGGGGCCGCCCTGTGCTCTATCTTCTCATCCATAGAACAAGGTTAATGACACAGCTCATGCAGGGGCTAGCAAAGTCTTGCAAGGTTGATTCTGAATGTATTATGAAGCTATACATTGCAGTTCCTAGACTTGAGCTGCTTTCCAACTAGATGGCAGCAGGTAAACAAGGGAAACTGAGATGTCATACTATTAAAACATTTCTTAAAGTGCTACTGGGTTTACATGGGAAAATCGTTCAAATAGTACAAATGAGCATGCAGTGAAAAATGACTTGTCCTCATACTCAGAGACACTGTTCCTTTCCCTGAAGGCAGCCAGTGGGGGTTGGTTTCTTGTGTATCCTTCCTGAGACATTGAAATATTCGTTCTCTTCCTTTTTTTATTTTAAAAAGGATTGTGTTACATGTGCTATATTGAACTTCCTTTTTTGACTTAGCCCTGTATATCTTGGGAACTTGTTCCAGATCAGGAAGTTTAGATCTATTTCATTTTCCTTTTATTGTGTCATTTGAAATTTTTGAAATACAATTGTTTGAAAGGAAATACATTCACATAACTCAGAATTTAAAGAGTATCAAAGGTATCCAATGGGGCCAGAATTAAGGTGCTGGATCCCACATGGCTGGCTGTGCAGTTTGAGTCTCGACTCAGCGCTTTAAAAATCCCAGCAGGCAAGTGTGCTCTAAATCCCAAGAAGTTTGGAAGAGAAGAGATTGCATCATGGCTATCTCCCCTGGGGGGTGATTCCTTGCTTCCCCTCTCTTTCTGGCTATCTCTCTCTGGTGAGTACATATGCCTTATAGCAAAAATTAAAAAAAAAAAGGGGGGGGAACCAGCAGTTAGCGTAATGGCTATGTCACTGGACTCCCACGTAGTCGACCGTGGTTCGTGTCGCGGACCCGGTGGCTTAAAACTCACGCCGGGCGCATGTGCATGCGTGCCCAAAATCCCGAGAGGAGAATGGAAGAGAAGGGATTACGGCGTGACCATTCCCCCTGGGGGGTGATTTCTCGCTTTCTGTCTCTATGTCTCTGTCTGTCTGTCTGGCGAGCGCACACGCCCTATAGCAAAAACCTCTCAATAATAAAAAAAAAAGGTATCCAGTGATAAGCTATTCAGTTCTTCTTCCAGTAGACAATCAGTGATATCAGTTTTCTCATATATCCTGATAGAAATAGTTTAAGCATGAATATAAACAGACTACCATTCTGCATGCTCTTACCTGTTTTGCCTCCTTACTTTTTTTCACAAACTATATTTTAGGAGATTATTCCCTATAGGTACATTTAAAGCTGCTTTATTTTTTTTTAAGTTGAGTCATTTTATAGATTTATTATAATTTATATAACCATTTCCCTATTTATAGGGTGAGTGTTCAGATTGTTTCTGATTTTTGCTGCTTCCAGCAATTGTGCAAAGAATAGCATTATTTATCTGATTTTTTTCTTTGGAGAGTATTTTGCTGTAGGGCACATGTGCTTGTCAGAGAGACAGAAAGTCTCTCATCCCTAGGGGGAGGGCCACGCCTCAGTCCCTTCTCCTTCATTCTCTCAGGATCTTGGGCACGCATATATGCACACACACATGCCTGGCTTGAATTTTAAGCCACAGGGTCTAGCCCTTGAACTGTGGTCAGCTATGTGGGAGTCCAGTGGCATAACCATTACGCCATCTGCTGGTCCCAACATTACCTATATGATTTTTGCAGGTGGCAAGGATGTCTATCGAATATAGTTTACAGGGTATTCCTTTGCATGACTTTACTGTAGTTTTTATGTCTTGGTTGTCTGGTCAGCCCTTGTGATCTCTTGCATTTCTGCTTCTTCCCCTGTCCTCCATCCCTACCTCCAGGCACATGGCCACCCACTCGGCCCAGAAACCCCACCAGTGCATGTACTGTGATAAGATGTTTCACCGTAAGGACCATCTGCGGAACCACCTGCAGACCCATGACCCCAACAAAGAGGCCCTCCACTGCACTGAATGTGGGAAGAATTACAATACAAAGCTGGGCTACAGGCGCCACCTAGCCATGCATGCTGCCAGCAGTGGTGACCTCAGCTGCAAGGTATGCCTGCAGACCTTTGAGAGTACCCAGGCCCTGCTAGAGCACCTGAAGGCCCATTCACGCCGGGTAGCAGGTGGTGCCAAGGAAAAGAAGCATCCCTGTGACCACTGTGACCGGCGGTTCTATACTCGTAAGGATGTACGGCGGCACCTAGTGGTGCACACAGGCCGTAAGGACTTCCTGTGCCAGTACTGTGCCCAGCGATTTGGCCGCAAGGACCACCTGACGCGTCATGTCAAGAAGAGCCATTCGCAGGAGCTGCTGAAAATCAAGACGGAGCCAGTGGACATGTTAGGCCTACTCAGCTGCAGCTCCACGGTCAGTGTGAAAGAAGAGCTGAGCCCTGTGCTGTGCATGGCCTCTCGAGACATGATGGGGACCAAGGCCTTCCCTGGCATGTTGCCTGTTGGCATGTATGGCGCCCACATCCCTACCATGCCCAGTGCAGGGGTGCCACACTCCCTGGTGCACAATACGCTGCCCATGGGTATGAGCTATCCTCTGGAATCCTCTCCTATCTCTTCCCCAGCTCAGCTCCCTCCAAAATACCAGCTTGGATCTACCTCATACTTGCCCGACAAATTGCCCAAAGTGGAGGTGGATAGTTTTCTGGCAGAGCTTCCTGGAAGCCTATCTCTCTCCTCCGCTGAACCCCAGCCTGCCTCACCTCAGCCAGCAGCAGCTGCAGCCCTCCTAGATGAAGCACTGCTCACCAAGAGCCCCGCCAACCTCTCCGAGGCCCTCTGCGCTGCTAATGTGGACTTCTCCCACTTGTTGGGCTTCCTTCCACTCAACTTACCCCCATGTAACCCGCCCGGGGCCACAGGAGGCCTGGTCATGGGATACTCCCAGGCTGAGGCGCAGCCCTTACTCTCTACTTTGCAAGCCCAGCCTCAAGATTCCCCGGGAGCTGGGGCACCTCTGAACTTTGGGCCTCTGCACTCCTTGCCTCCTGTGTTCACCTCTGGCCTGAGTACCACCACCCTGCCTCGGTTCCACCAAGCATTCCAGTAGCCCCCACAGAGGCCCTCAGCTCAATCTTTGGCTCTGTCAGGGAGCCTTAATACCCACCCCATCCGCGCCCCCCCGGAAGGCAGCTGAGATTTCAGAGCTGGGTTTGAAAAGAGAAAATTTCAGTTTGGAGCACTTGGTTTGGGGCTCAAGCTCCAGGATCAATTCCAGGAAGCGCCTTGAGCCCCAACCCCGTGAAAAGGTCTCACACCATAGGACATCAGGTATTTTTACTTTTGTATTTTTGATCTGAATCGGGAGCCACACTTAGCCCTCTCCCTCTCCAAAGTGTCAGACCCTCTTTCTCTTTGGAGAAGTGGGAGGCCTCTTGGAGACACTGAGGGTTTCACCTTGGATGACCTCAAGAGAAGTAGCCCAAGAAGCCCGCCTTCTGGCCCCAACCTGCAGACTGCAGCAGTCAGTTGGTCAGGCCCTGCTGTAGAAGGTCACTTGGCTCCATCGCCTGCTTCCCACCAGTGGGCAGGAGAGAGGGCCTCTGTTCTTCCCGACCGCCCCCCGCCCTACTGTACCAACGCCTCCGTTTTCAGTGTTGTCCAGCAACGGTACCGTTTACACACCATTTCACCTCCCTTGCCAAGCTGTTAGCCTTAGAATGATTGCAGTGAATACTGTTTACACACCGTGAATCCATTCCCACCAGTCCATTCCAGTTGGCACCAGCCTGAACCATTTTGGTACCTGGTGTTAACTGGAGCCCTGTTTACAAGGCGGAGTCGGGTCTTGCTGACTTCTCTTCACTTGAGGTCACATTTTTCCCCTGTGGGGAAATAAACTGACTTTGGACTGCTTCAGTCTCTGCCATCTTCCATGACTGCGTCTGTTCCTGCCTTCCTTGGCAGTGTCCACAGGAGACAGGCAAGAAGATTGGAGCAGTTTTCTCACAGGTCTGCAGTTCTGTTTTTCTCCAAGTATATCATGATGCCTCCATCCTCTTTTTGAACTGGAGAGGGGAAGAATTGAAAGGCATGCCCACATTCAACACTTCCCCGTTCCCTGGCCCCACGTAAACATCCTGAGCTGTTGTTATTAGTCATAGAAGGAGGGACTCTGGGTTCTAGGCTGGTGGGGATAGCAAAGGAGAGGGGACGAACCCCTCATTTATCTCCCTTTTACCCACCTCTTTTTCTAGGAAGTCGTGGAATTGTTGGAAAAAGTTTTTAGAGTTAGAACTGGGCAGATGGTTGAGTCTTAATTTATGGGTGCATCATTGCCTCTCATACTGAAATTTTTCTTATCTACAATGTCCGTTGTCTTTCCTTCACTTTGCAGTCCTCATAGACTTGGGCCACTGTGCATAGGCTTTTCTGGTCCATCAGAGCTTCTCTCTCCCTGTGGCCTCCCTCCATTTTCCCCTAGTATCCAACAAGGTTTTTTGCAACAAATGATTAATTATTCTTTTCTGACTTGTGGGCCTCTCTGCCACAGACCACATGGCCCTTCCCCAGAACCCAACTGAATCCCAACCTACTTCATCTCAGTTTTGCAGGGGCTTCACTTGTGGAAGGGAGGCAGTTCAGAGATCTCCATTGTGAGACCCTCTGGATACACCTCTGATTCAGAAACACACTTCTACCTCTTTACTGTTAACTCCTACAGATGCAGCCAGCGGTTTCTGGGCACCTCTCTCTGGGTGTCTCATGCTGACTTCTCCACTAGGGTTTCAGGACACACCACCAAGAAACTGCCTCAGCCTCCCGTCAGACCTCCCTCACTGCCCCCTGCCCCCACACTTCTGTCTAGATTCACTTGGTTTATCATCAGGAGCAGAGCAGGTCTAAGACCCAGGCTTCTGCCTCAGTCCAGGCCAGTACTCCTTGTTTGAGGTGGAAGCCTTAAATTTTAGCCCCCTGACCCTTGATTGGAAGCAATGTAGAATGAATACACATGTTTTGATTTAGGCAGGATAGCTTGGGATACCTTTAAAGATACAAAACCAGATATATAATCATCTGGCAAGGTTAGAATCAGACTAGGTGATTTGCTTCTAAAAATTAGTTTTGGTGAGTCCCAGGGACTAATTGAGGTTTATTTGAAAAGCGTCTACTGTGGTACGCAGCCATCTCCTGCATGCTATGCATGTGATCAGGACTTGTATTACAGGAAATGGCCTGTGAGCATCCAGGTGGGACTCTGCTGCCATTGTCCTGTCATATCTGGGCTTTGTCGCTAGACCCAGCCGCCCTTCTTCGCTTGCCTGCCACCTTCCCTGCATCCTCATTTGACGAGGCAAATGGGCTCGGTGGCCAGAGGAGTCCTGTCTTCTCTGCCTGCCCTTTTCCGTCCCTTGAATTCTCTTCCCCCATTAGTGATGCTGGGGAACTCATAGGATAGACAAAGCAATTTTTTAATTAGGGCCTCACCCCCACCTCTTGCCTTTTTGCCTTGCCTCCCCTACTCCCACTGCATCCCTTCATCCTGTTTCTCCTCTTCTCTCAATGCCCTCACCACCCACAAGGAATTTTTCTATCACTGTGAACTTTGCTGGTGCAGAGGAACATTATCTGCTTTCTTTTTTTTTTTTTTTGGACCATAGCCATCCAGCTGTTTCTTAAACCTTCTTCCCAAAATCAAAAAAAAAAAAAAAAAAGGAAAAAAAAGCCTTAACGGCCTGTTGTTTAAAGGATAATATAGCTTTTTCCTACACTCAGTACCCACTCACTTTAGCACCCTACAGAGGCCAAGACAGCCTGGGGGCATCTGCCCAGGATAGGGCAGGTGACTGGGACCAGAAAAAAAGGGAGATATCCCTTTTCCCCACTCCTTCCTCCAATGAGCTGTCCTGAATAGGAGTAAGCACCTCCCACCCTCCACAGTAGCTGGTCAGGGCTCAATGCAGTCCTGGGGTCCAGGGGATGACATGCACAAGTGTCAGCTCAGAGGACCTCTGAGACCCTCTTCAAAGAGATGGGAGGGAAAGGAGCACCAGTGAGTTGTCCCTCCAACACACACACACACACACACACACACACACACAACCTTTTACAAATGACATTTTGTTCCTGGGAATCCAGGAAGCAGGTGTGATTACTTTTTTGCTGGTAGATATTGAGTTGAAACTCCCCCTGCCCTAAACTTTCCCTGTAGCCCTTTAAATTTCCCCCTCCCATTTTGGTAGCTGTTTTCTCCATGCCCTCCCCAACTCCTCTCTTATCTAGGAGCTATTTTTAAGCACGATTTTTTTTTAAACTGGTTATGTTGTACAGGATCAATATTTTGCTTTTTAACAAGGATATTTATGTAATAAACTTTGCCTTAGGCAGGTGTTGGCCAGAAAAGTCCAGATTCCTCTGGAACCCCCACCCTGGCCTCTCCTGGAGCTCTGAACCTGCTGTGGAAGAATTGGCTGTGACCTTTGCCACATAGAGTAGGGTCTAGGGTGTTCAGCGTGTTAATCTAGTGCCTCCATGGATGGGTTTGGAAGTATCCAGTCCTGTTTCTTCAGGTGTCAGCTGACCTTAGCTGATTATCCCATAGGCATTTCTCCATCTCTACTTATCCAGCACTAGAACTGAAACGCCACTTCCCCTGCTCCTCTCTCCCTCCTAGTGGTCAAGGCTTTGGAGCCACTCTTTCGTAATGCCAGATTATTTAAAGAGAAAAATACAAGACAAAAACCTTCTAGCACTTTGTAAACACAGTGAATAACCTCTTGGAGTATTTTTGGCTTTATATGAAACAGGTTTTTAATTGTAAAATATAAGTGCCATTGCCATTAGAAAATGCACAGGGCGTATCTTTGTTAAAGTAGATTTTTCAATGTTTTACAGAATTACATTTTCAAAAAAAAGTTTTTATAATGAAGTTGTTTATTAAAAACTTCTGAATGATGTGGTTGGAACTTGTGACCCTGTTTGATTGGGAAAGGGGTTGGAGAAAGCCTGGAATTGGAAAGAAGTGGAGTCTCCAGACATCTTAGCATCCATGGTGGTGGCGAGTGTAGAGGAGACAGTTAACTACTACTCATTGGCACCTGCAAGCTTTTTGGATGAAAGATCTTAATGTGTTTGTGGTAAGTGACATCATCCTACCACTTAATAACTTGGGGTGCAAAGGGTCAGAAGACACAAATCGAATTGGTTTTAAACAGTTGAAATGTCATGAAACTAAAAATGTCAGGTGTAGTCTTTAGGTTAGGTTTGATCCAGCAGCTCAAACATGTTTGGCCTCAGCATTCTTATTTTTCACTGCCTATCTTGTACTGTTGTAACTTCATCCTCAAATCAAGCCCTATAAATTAGGTTCTTTCCTTATGTGGGAATAGAATGCTACCACAATTCCAGATTTGTCATTCTCACACAATCTAGAAGGAGAACGGGACCTTTCATTTTTTTTCCCAGAAAGGAGTCTTTGTTCACAGAAGGCCCAGTAAACATCCAGTTTCATTGGCCTTGCCATGGTTCTGCACCATCCCCAAACCATCACTATACATCAGTGTCAACAAGGCTGAGGCAAGGGGAGGAGCAGCTTCTCAAAGGAAATTTGCACTACTGTTAGGACAAGGAATGGGTGTTGATGATCTAAGAAAAGATAGATGTCTAGTCATACACTGTCTAAGGTGCACAGCTAGTCAGGTAGCACCTGACCTTAGCCACGTTTGTATCCAACCACTAGGTTAACAGATGGTGGAAATGGCGCTTGCCAGTCAGCAAAGGCAAGTCATCACCATTCTGGGCCCCACTCCTTGTGCTGAGATCCTCTTGTAAATGGCTCATAGTAAATTCATTTTTCTGTGGTCTGGAGCTAGAGTCCACAGCCAAGCACAGTGCAAGTCATTTGGAGTCCAGCCCAAGAACCCATGCAGACATTAGCAAGTATTAACGTGCAGAGGTTTTGTGTATACAAAGGCAGTGGGCTACCCTTCATCTCTTTGGTCTTACTTAGCAAATGTTTACTGTCCATGCCAATGGACAGTGGGAACCCAGCTAGGACACCAGGAAAATCCACCCTGCCACCTAGGGCTTCCATACTCCGGGACAGGTCTGGGAACCCAGATGAGGGAGCTATCCATTCATAGGGAAAAAAAGCTTTCTGGAGGAGGTGCCAAGAGCTTCAAGGCCAAGCTGAGGCCAAGTACAGACCCTGCACTTTACAGTGGAACCCACCTTCCTGAAATGGCTGGTAGCTCCTAGACCTAGGGCAGGGTGAAGCAATGACCGCCTTCTTCCCGCCAACCCGCTCAAGAGGATCCAGCTCAAGGGGGAAGGCAGCCTGGTGCCCACTTGCTCCCTGGTTTGCAGGATTTAAGACCCTCTCTTGCCCCAGACCCTTCCACCCAGACCTTGATTTTTCTTCCCTGTCTTCACGTGAATTAAAATCTGAGCACCTCCCAGTGCCTGACAATGACTTTTGTGGCTCCAGCTCCCCGCTGGTCTGTCTGTAAGGAATACTTCTTGAGCCTCCACATGTGCCTGAGTAATTTATCCCGTGCAAGCCTGCAAGTGGCCTTACGGCTGTCCCAAAGCAACATTACGAAGGAGAGTCGCGCTACTCTGGCCAGCCCACCGCAAATTGAGGCACGGTCATCTCCTAGGTGGTGTCTGATGGGAAGGTAATAACTGCCTATAACCATGGGCTTGGGCATGTCCCTTGGTGCCTGTCCGAGGTGCCGAGCTGCCCCCTGCTTGGTACATCCCTGCACCTCTCCCACCTCCCTCGCCAGTACCGTTCTAATCTGGGGCCACCAGGCAGCCGGCACCTCTCTGCTGGGGCTCTATCCCCTCGCACCCTGCAGTCCAGGGACCCTAGCGAATCACCCGGGGAAGGGAGGGCTCGAGGGGCGGAGCGCGCCCTGGAGGAGACCACGCCTCCCCGCCTCCTATCCGCAGAGGCTCTGCTGCGCCCCCCAGCCGCTCCAGCTCGACCCGAAGCCTCGCCAGCGCGCCTTGAGTCCCTGCGGCAGCTCACGCAGGTGATGGCGGACGAAGGGCCTGGGGCTCTGGAAACTGCGGTGCCCCCGCCGTCAGGCCAGGCGCACGAGAGAGGTTCGCACCGTTTCTCTGCAGCGTGGACCCGAGAAACGAGGGGTCGCGGGCACTCAAACTCTACCGCGGGTCTCGGTACCGCCCCGCTAGGCCCCGGGAGCCGAAAAGCAGCCTCCGCGGAGACTGCTCCAAGCCTGGAAAACGGCCCGGGTGGGGAAGAGGCCCCAGAAATCTGTGGCACAGAAGAGTGGGGGGCTCGGGCGGGAGCCAGAGGGAAGGCTGAGGAAGTGACGATTGAAGAGGACGCCATGTTCACGGAGGAGGCCGCAGAGGAGGCAGAGAAGCAGCAGATGGGGGAGAAGCTGGAGGCGGAGAAGCTGGAGGTGGGCGTGGAGGGCCTGGGTCTTCTGAATCTTGATGGCCTCGTTGTGGATCCACTGGAGGCCATCCAGTCGGAGCTGGAGGCTGTGAGTGCCCAGGACGACAGGGCCTACCTCTGGCTCCAGGGCAGATTTGGGAGGGTGCGCCGGTTGCACCTCGCCCGCAGGAGCTTCATCATCCAGAATATTCCGGGCTTCTGGGTCACCGCCTTCCTGAACCACCCGCAGCTGGCAGCCTTGATCAGCCCTCGAGATGAAGACATGCTGTGCTACCTGATGAATTTGGAGGTGAGGGAGCTCAGGCACACCCGGACGGGTTGCAAGTTTAAGTTCCGCTTTTGGAGCAACCCCTACTTCCGGAACAAGGTGATTGTGAAGGAGTATGAGTGCAAATCCTCAGGCCGGGTGGTGGCTCTTGCAACTCCAATCCGATGGCACCGAGGCCAGGAACCCCCAGCCCTGGTGCATAGGAACAGGGACACCATCCGAAGCTTCTTCAGTTGGTTTTCACAGCACAGCCTTTCAGAGGCTGACAGGGTTGCCCAGATTATCAAAGATGACCTGTGGCCCAACCCCCTGCAGTACTACCTGCTGAGGGATAGGCCCCACAGAGCCAGGCAAGGCCTAGCAAGGTGGCCCACAGAGGCCCCCCTCAGACCTTTCGGCTTCCAGTCTGGCTAAGTTCTGCCCTGGGGCATGGCTGCTGCATAAGGCTCCCTCTCCCCTCCTGGGGACCTGTGCTCAGGCCGGCGGAACACACTCTGCTTTCTCTTCTGTGCACTCTGGCTCCTCTGGAGGTTCAGTGGATTCAGCTCCAAGATTGTGGCCTTCGTGGCCAATCTTCATGCTTCCCTGTGGCCTTCATGCTGTTCTGTGTCAACATCACAAGGCTGTCATACACCACTGCATCTACACCACGCAGCCAGTGCTGTGGACATATACTGCCATTGTCTTCATGCCCTGGACCCGTCTGCCACCCTGACCGCCCACCCATTTTTGACCACAAGTCGTCACTAGAGGACCAGTGCTGCTGAGGCATCCTGCTTCCAGGTCATGCACGACATGCTGGCCTTTACAAATGCACACTGCTGGTTGTGGTTGCTCTGCACACTAGCTGTGGCAAGCTGAGTCTCATCACCCAAGATGAAGTGGGTGCCTGTGGTGCTGGCTATCTCCAGACTGGGGCAGTCCCTGGACTTAGGAACATAAGCTAGGCTGCCATGAAAGTGTTTATCTATTATCTGGCAGAATGGGCATGCAGCCAGGCTGCTGGGCATGGGTGAGGTCCAGGGCATGAAGCTGTGGGTAGCACATTGGTGACAGCACTGCGCTTCTGCCTTTTGTTGGACCCCTATCAAGCTGTTGGCTTCTGACAGTCTGTGCTGTGCCCCACCTGGTTTGCAGTATTTTAGACTGTCCTTTGTCCCAGATGGCCACAAGACCAGTGAGTTTGCCCAGATTACCCTCAGCCCTGTCTTCTGCTCCCAGGTCTACAAGAACTTCAAGAACTGTCTATGGACCCATGTGGGCTTCCTGCCGCTGAGCAGAACCCCACTCCTAAGAACTCTGCCAGGCTGGTATATCTATCTTGGTGTGAGTTCAAAGCAGAATAAGGATGGAACCCCTTTCGGGGGCCTGCCTTTCTGAGTCCCTACTCCTGCATCCACACAGAATCCAGGCCCTCTGCCAGTCTCCCCACAATTCCATCTGTTTTTAGGCTGCAGGGTTGCAGGTGCTGGAGTGGGAGTGTTTCCGGTCTTGGGACCTGTTTACTCCTATCCTGATCACATTTTTTTCCTTAAGGTGATAGCTCAGAAACAAAAGCTAACTAAGCAGCCAGATTATTGATAAATAGCTAGGAAGACAGACTTTCTCGTTGACTTTCCCTCCCTGTGTCTAGAAAGGGACAGTTTGTCCTGTAGACTATCAGCACTCTGGCCCTCTGCCCCACACTCCACCTGCTTTAGCAAGGTCTAGAATCTTGTAAGGGGGACAGTGCAGGGTGCTGAACAGAGACCAGGAAGTTCCCAGAGCAGGGGTAGTTGATCACTTCATTTTATGCTGTTATTTTAACTTCAGCCCCAGCTCTTTCCTCTCCTTCCACCAGGTCTAAGCCCCTACTGGTTTCATGTAGGTGCAAAAGCTGCACCGTCCCTCCCCTCCAATCGCCCCACCAGGCTTGCAGGGCTGTGTGTCTCTATTTCATTTTGGGGAAAGGGGAAGTGGTGACTGTACTCAAGCCCCTTCTCATAGAAAGTCTTGTCTTGCTCTGCAGGATCCGGGAGGCTTCGATGCAAAATGCTGGGGAAGGGGCTTTGAACAGGGGAGAGCGACAGAAATCAGAGCCAGCTGGAAAGGCAAGGATGGCTGAGAGCCTGTGGGGTGGACAGCTATTTGCTATTTTTTAAAAAAACTTACCACTGTATTTTGTAAATTAGAAAATAACAGAACAACTTTCGAGATTTTTCTCTCAATCCAGGTATGACCTTGTGTCTGCTTTTTATATCCTGCTTTTAAGTAAAAATCTCCTATGAACCTCTTTCTCAGTTGCGGCCCACTGAGCTGTGCAGACCTGCTTGCTGCTTTTAATTGAGAACATTCAAAAGCAACATAATTTTCGTAGGCCATTTGGAAACTTAGGTAACTATTCGCAGTAGTTATTAAGTGGTGTGGCCTCTTACTGTAACCCTGTGCTCAGAAGCAGAGTTTGGATAAGGCGGTGGTGTGGCACTTACTCCTGTGTTCTCCAGAGAGCTGTCACTGGTGACTGTGATGATTCTGTGTCACGGTGGCCCTGGTGTAATTGACTTCACTGTCATTGATGCCGCGCCTCTAAACAGAAGTATTCTTGAGGTGGCTTTGTTCAACTAGGAGAGGATTTGTGGCACTTTCATGTCCCGTGTGCATGATGAAAAAAAATAAAAACTCCTTGGTCTGGGAAAAAATAACTTGGATATTACTTGCCCATCCAAAATCTCCCAGTGGCAAATAAATAAATCTCACTTCTCTTTGCAGCTGACAAAGTCCTGCATCTTTTGGTTCCCTTTGCTCTCTGCTCCCTTCATACAGGCCTCTCTGCTGCTCCTAAAGGGCAGCCTCAGGGTCTTTGTGCTTGCTTTTCCTTCTGGAGCTTGCTCCTGCAGATAGTCTTAGCTCTGACTTCAATGCTACTTCTTCCACAGTCTCCCTGCCCAGGCTGTGCAAGGCAATCCTCTGCCCTCCCCTGCTCATCCCCCTGCCCTTCCTGTCTCCACATCACTTAACTCTGAAAAGCATGTGTTTTCTTATCTCCTTCCCATATGTCAGGACAGGGTCCTCTGCCTGCTGTGCCCCACATGGTTCTGTGTCCAGCACCTCAGAAACCACCGATGTGAGTGGATGTCTTGATCCAGTATGTCAGAGTCTCCGCAGACTCCGGCAGAATACAGAGCCAGGACTGGTCCCTGCTGAGAGGGTTTCAGGTGGGTCTTGGGGTAGTGGGTGGTGATGGAGAGTGACCTGTAATTCGTCATCCCATAGGAACACATCTGAGAGTGCAGGGGTTGCTACCAGGTCAAGAGGCCTAACTGGTACATAGCAGCAACCCCCAACGTCCCCCAGCTGAGTCCAGTTCAGCATCAGTCACCCCACCTGTACATGATGTGGGCTTGGAGGATGAAGACCTGAGTGTGAACAGCATGAGCAAAAGCACTGCAGTGTGAAAGTGCACTCTGTTTAGGGCACAGCAGGTGCCCTGGTGGGGCTGCTGGAGAGAGGCAAGTCCGGGTGGGTAGGCTCAGGCCACTTTCTGAAAGCGGGAACTCTTGAGAGCCAAGCCAAGACATTGCCCTTTGGAGAGTGCAGAGGGGTAGCAGGTGTGGTCTGGAGGTAGGGTGAACTCACTGGGCAGCTGGAGGCAAGGGGTGGAGAGAATCTGCAGCTCCTGGGTCCTCAGCCATCTGTCTGCAGCTCTCCCAGGAAGCCCTCCGATCGCCTCCACCCACAGCAATCTCTGCTACCTTCTAAGAACAGCCCAAGACCAGAATGTGGGCAGCCAGTGCCTGGCGAGGCTGCATCCTCTGGGTTTCTCTTTTGTGCCAAACACCTGTCTCTGATGCTGGCAGGGGGGTCGGGGTGAGCCACTAGGCATTCTGGCAATGCTGGAATCTGGTGCTCCCTGTCGTCTGCCTGACCTATGCCTGAAGGTTGGAAAGTGCACTTAGGCTCCTGCAGCCCAGGTTTGTGTCTGGCTGCCTCCTGCATGTCTGTAGGCCCCAGGCAATTTTTTTTGTTTTTCTCTTGGTTTGCTATAGGGTGTGTGTGCTTGCTGGAGAGACAGAGACAGAGAGAAAGGGGGTGAGTGAGAAATCACCCCCCGAGGGGGGATGGCCACACCACAATACCTTCTCCATTCTGCTCTCAGGATTTTGGGCTCACTTCCACACATGTCTGGCATGATTTTTTTTTTAATTAATTTTTTTAAGAGGTTTTTGCTATAGGGCACATGCACTCGCCAGACAGAGAGAGAGAGATAGAAAGTGAGAAATCATCCCCCAGGTGTGATGCCGCAATCCCTTCTCCTCCATTCTCCTCTCGGGATCTTGGGCACGCACGCACACGCACCCGGCGTGAGTTTAAGCCACCAGGTCCAGGACGTGAACCACGGTTGACTACGTGGGAGTCCAGCAACATAGTCATTACGCTAACTGCTGGTCCCATATCTGGCATGATTTTTAAGCCACGGGGTCTGAGACTCTAATATAGTTGGCTGTGTGGGATCCAGCCACCTTAACCTCCATGCCACCTGCTGGCCCAGACAATGGTATTTATTTTTTAATTAAAAGAATTGTATTTAACTTTTTTTTATTATTATTTATTTTGTTTTAATATGACCAGAGAGAGATAAAGAGAGAAAGGGAAAGTGAGAAAGCAAGCCACCAGGTACGAGACTTGAACCACAGTCAGCCATGTGGGAGTCCAGCGTCGCAATCACCACACCACCTGCTGGCCCCAGACAATGGCATTTTACAAGCACAGGTGCTTACCTGCCTTTTCTGTTGTGTGGCTAGTGGCATGCTTCCATCATTTTTATCATCTGCACCTTTCTTCTTTTTTTTTGGAGAGGGTTTTCGCTATAGGGCGCGTGCACTCACCAGACAGACAGACAGAGACATAGAGACAGAAAGTGAGAAATCACCCCCCGGGAGGATGGCCACGCCACAATCCCCTTTCCTCTTGGGATTTTGGGCCTGCATGCACACGTGCCTGGTGTAAGTTTAAAGTTGCTGGGTCTGGGACTTAAACCACGGACAGCCAGGTGGGAGACCAGCAACGTAACCATTACGCCATCTGCTGGCCTCAGCCACTGCACCTTTCACCACACTGCTGCAGTGTGAGTCTTGTCCTCACACACACTCCTGCTTGCTCACTCATTCATGCCTTGAGTCACTCATTTGTTTATCCACAAATCTTGGCACTCCCTCTAGGCACTGGGGCACAAGATGACTTTGTCCTGGTCTTTGTCCTCACTGAGCTCAAAGATCCAAGGCTGAAAAGGTGATGACCACCACTGCTTATTGAGTACCTACTATGTGCCAGGGGCTTACATGGAAACAGCAGCCGTAGTGGCTCTCTCTGCCGAGTCAGACCACATCCTGCTCCCTTTAATGACTCCAGTGTCACCCAAGAGAAGAAGCCCACACGCTCTGCACAGCCTGCAAGACCTTCAGATCTGACCTTGGGTCCCCTCTCTGGCTTTATCTCCTATGCCTCATCCCTGCCAGATCACTTTCCAGCTACGCCAGCCTCTTGCTAGTCTTGAGTGGCTAAGGACCTTCTTGCTTCCCATTTCCTCTGCCTGGAGCCTTCCCCAGATGTTTGTGAGGCTGGCTCCTTGCTTCACTAAGCTTTTCTACTGCAAACGTTACTGTTTCCCCTCTTCTCTGACTGTCCTTTCTAAAAACTATCCTGACACTCTTCCACCCTTTTCTCTAATTTGGATTTTACTTTAGCACTTGCAACCACACCTATTTTACCATGAATATTCTGTTTTTTTTTTTTTTTTTTTTTTTTTTTTTTTTGAGGGGAGAGGTTTTTGCTATAGGGCGCATGCACACACCAGAAAGAGAGAAACAGAGAGACAGAAAGTGAGAACCCCCCTGCCACACCGCAATCTCTTCTCCTCCATTCTCCTCTCAGGATCTTGGACATGTGCACGCACACATGTGAGTTTAAGCCACCGGGTCCGGGACTCGAACCACGGTCGACTACATGGGAGTCCAGCGACATAGCCATTACACCAACTGTTGGTCCTGAGTATTGTTATTTATCTGCCTTTTTCTCTGCACTCTTGGAGACTGATTCACTGCTGAATGCCCCTCACCTAGAAGCCTGGCACAGTTGGGGGATCAGTCATACTCAGTGGATTGAATGAATGCTTCACATCCTCAATGTTCAAGAGGGTCTTCAGGTGGGCAAGGGGACAGCACCTACAAGGCCCAGAAGCTGAATGAAAGCTCCTCCAGGGCTTTACCTCTAGGCATAGGGCCTCTCCCAAGGACAGACGTATTCCAGGCAGTTTGGAACTTGTGGTGAAAAATGTCTCCGGGCTGATCCTGGTCTCTTCTGCAGAGAGATGGCTTCCTCACGCTCCAAAGGTGAAGGGAGGAGGCCAGGCTAAGGAAGGGGCTTCCTGCCCTGGCAAGAGAGCAAACACAAGCCTTGGGTCCCAGGGTTTTCTTTGCCTCGTCTCAGGTATCTGCCCTGTTCTGAAGGCCTCGAAGGAACTTTGGACAAGTTCTCTTCAATCTAAGAAAAATCTATCCCGAAACTGTGGTAATTACTTGTAATCTGTGACTGCCTTGATTACAGCTCAGGGGACTTTGATATTTTCCGATGACACAATTTCAGCACAAAAATTCAAGGAAGTGCCAGCATCTGCTTGCCCTTGCTCAGCAGAACTAAATGTTGATTTGAGTGGGTGAACTTCGATGCCCGTGACCCATAGACCTCCACCACTGGAGCTGACTCAAGATCTCGGGGTGCAGAGTTGTGGTGCAGGGGGCCCCAGATGGAAGGCTGATAGGCCTGTGAGTAGTGCCTGCCTGTTCCGGATGGTTCTCACAGCTCTCAGCCGATTTCCTCATCCATAGGAGAAACTTGGGCAACCCCGGCTCTTAAGGAGGCTGCATCTCACATGGCCAGCTCCACAGTTCAAGTCCTTGAAAAACATGCTGATGTGTGTGTAAGTGCCTAAAATGCCACAAGGATGGAGAAATAGAGGAAAAGGGACTGCTGTGCCATGGAAATGGGGGTTGCATTCTTCCTCTCTCTGTGGTGAGTGCGTGTACCCTCTGGCCAAAACAAAAAAACAAAAACAAAAAGTGTATATACATAAATGAAATGTTCAGGTTTTTTTTTTTTAAATGAAATTATGACACATGCTACAACATGAATGAACCTTGAAGATCTTATGCTAAGAAAAATAAGGCAGGCACAGAAGGACAAATGATTCTGTTCATTTGAGGCCAAATTCACAGACAGAATGTAGGGTACTGGTTGTCAGGGGCTGGAGAAAGGGAAATGGGGAGCTATTACTTAGTGGGCACAGAGTTTCGGTTTGGGAGACAGAAAAGTTCTGGAGATGGATGGGGGTGATGGCTGCACAAAACTGTGAGTGTGTTTAATGCTACTGAACGGTACACTTCCAAAGACCTGACATCGGAGCCAGCAGGTGGCATGGTGGTTACGGTCCTAGATCCCACATGGCTGATTCTGTGGTTTGAGTCCCAGATCGGGTGGCATGAAACACACCAGGAGTATGTGTATGCATGTCCAAAAATCCCAAGAGAAGAATGAAGAAGGGTCTGTGGTATGGCCATCCCTCTGGGGCATGATTTCTCACATTCTCTTTGTCTCTGTCTGTCCAGGGGGCATATGCACCCTATCGCAAAAATCTAT